AGGCCGGGGGGGGTGGGAGGGGTGCCTCAGTTTCCCCATCTGCTTAACCTGCTCCTGCCCTGGCCCAGCACGCAGCCCCACCCAGACACCTGGGCCCCCTTCCCGAATTCAGGGGCAGACACGCATCCTCCAGCAGGCCTAGGCCACATCCTGCCCCCGGATGCCGGTGCTGGAGTGTCATCGTCGTCCCCCCCCACCCCGAACAAACCCAGAGGCGGACAAGGAATCGTAAGAAAAACGTCCAAGTTAATTTACTTTCCCGTTGTCACGGCGTTAATTAATTAAGTCATTAATAATTAAGAGAAACAAAACCCGCCAGGAAGGGCAGGAATAGACCCAGATGTTGGTCAAGGTGGAGGGGGGGGGTGTTTGCACGCGCGTGTGTGGGTGTGGGTGCATGGTAGAGAGGGACAATGCTGCTGCTGAGGCTGGGAATGAGTGGGCATGAGGGGGGGGGTGTGTGTATGCCTGTGCACACAAATGAGTGTGGCCACGTGAAGGGGTGACATGCACAGGTGCACACCTGTCCGTACAACAGGCCCATCTGGCATAAGCATCTGAGCGTGTGTCCGAGGACACACAGGGGTGATGAGTGCAGGCACACATGATACGAGTGCACGTGTCCAAGCCTGTGCATGAGCGTGCACACGTGCCTAAGTGCACATGTGAAGTGTGCACACACATGTAAGACGCGAGCGTGTGCAGCCATGTCCAAATGAAGTGTGTGTGTAGGTGTGTACCATGTAAGCATGCGCACACGCCACCAAGTGCACTCACACGAGGTATGCGCACATGCACTCAAGTGCATACACCTGAAGTATGTGCACTTGTGCCCAAGTGTGCACACCTGTGAAATGTGCACACATGTATATGATGTGTGTCCACCCGTGCCAGAGGGCACACACGTGAAGTATGTGCACACGTGCCCAAGTGCACACCCACGATGCGCACCCACGTCTATGACACAAGCACACCCGTGTCCAAGTGCACACACGCGGCATCTGCGCACACTCAGGGGTGTACGGCAGACACGAGCGCCCAGAGTCCGTCTCTGCACTGCTAAGTCCTGCAGCGTCTCCCCGTGTCGCCCCCGCATCCTGCCCGGGCCGTGGGGAGCTGGGGGTGGGGAGGGCACCCTGTCTTCCCAGGGGGGCCCCTGCAGAGCTGGGGGGGGGCGCATGGATCCCGTGCCCGCCACAGGTGCGACACATGCTCGGCCTGGCCTGGTGCATCCTGGGAACCTGCGAGATATTAGAGGGGGGTTAGTGCCGGGGTGGGAGGAAACCCTGGACACCCCTCAGATGGGGGGAGCAGTGGGGGGCAGGGGTCAGGGCCCCCCCCAGTACTCACACGTCCTCGCAGCACACGGGTGTCACATGTACGGCCACGGCCCCTCCACACCCATGGCCATGTCCACGCCGCCCATCGCGCCTGCGGGGCAAGCAGGGTGAGACCCGGGCCGGACCCTGCATGCATGACCCCTGACCCCGAACCCCCACCCTGACCCCTATTTGTAGCCCATGACCCTGAACCCCACCGGTAACCCCTGCCCCTAAACCCTACCTGCAACCCCTGACCCCCATCTGTAACCCTCACCCCAAACCCTACCCGTAACTCCTGACCCCACACCTGTAACCCTTGACCCCGAACCGTACCCATAATCCCTGGCCTCCATCTGTAACCCTTGACCCCAAACCCTACCTTGAACCCCAACCCTGGCCCTTATTCATAACCCCTCCCCTGACCCCCAAACCTACCCATAACTCTTGACCCTGGTCCCTATCTGGAATCCCTGACCCCAAGACCTACTGCTAACCCTAACGGTAACCCTTGACCCCTACTTGTAACCCCTGACCCTGGCCCCTATTGCTAATGCTACCCTTGACCCCTAGCAAAACCTGGAACCCCTGACCTTTGACCCCAACCCTTAACCCTAAACCCATCCCCTGGGGGGTATCCCCAAACCTCTCCATAACCCTAACCCTGTCAACCCTGACCCCTACCCCATCCATCACTCCTAACCCCCACCCATGACCCCCCAGCCCCCAGGCTG